CTTTGAAATTCTTTTCCAACTGCTTCATTGATTTTTACAGTTGCAAAGTTGTTTCATCTTGTGATATGAGAAAGAACGAAACAAAGGTTCGCGTCCATATTAGTAATGGCGGTTGACATGAAACTTTGAATTTACTCAATGTAAGTAAATGCGAAATGTTCACAATTTGTGACGTCATACACAAAGAAAAACAAAAAACGTAAACAAACTTTTGATAGTGCGCAGTATGGAATGGAAATCATCCGTTACAGTGATCAGATTAGCTACAGTGGGAGACTAACTTTTAGTTACAGAGGTGTTGCCTTTCTAGCTGATTTGACATCAGTATTTTGTGAATTTGAAGGGCCTAAAGTAACTAATTATTATATTTGGTGTTAATATCAAAAATACTTTCCAACAGTGGTAATTATTTTTGCTTGGCATCAGGTGTTCAAGTGCTGTAGCAAAACAAATTTAGGTTGGATTACTCATTCCCAGTCCCTACCTTTTTCTTACTCAAAGGTGATGAAAGACTGGAGAGATAGGATGTCTTGATCCAGTGCCTTTTTATTAAATCAAACCCTTTCCTTGAAATTCACTAGTGATAGTCAGTTACCTTACCTTACAATATTAATACAAGGCTCATATACTACTTTGTAAAGATTTCCACGTGTATAGTTTATAGAAAACTAAGGACACTTTTGGCTTGCAGAGTAGTTAAGTGGTGTTAGTTATTAGTATAACTCAAGACTTCAAACGTAGTGAAAGAATTACGATGATTCTGGTCATTTGTTACTACAAAATAGGGTTGATTTACATTTTCCATCAGAGCTAATCATGATGGAAATCAATTTCACCATAATAATTATGTTTGAAGAAGTATTAGAGTAGTAAAACATATGGTGTTTCCTCAAAAAAAGAAATCAGAATTGCCACTACAGAGTACTACAGTAGTACTGTTAATATCTTGAGTGTTGCAGTTATATAACATTGGATTAAACATAATTTAGAGGAAATGAACAGAAACCATTACAGATAGTTAATCTTTTGATTACAATTAATGCTTTAATTGACATTAGTTAGGAAATTTCCCTTTTTGTTGTGAGAATTCAGATATTACAGCACAAAATACATGTGGCTGCTTTAAAAAACTGTTTTCAAGAGTATTTTATTTTATCCTCAGTGATATTATCATATTTTTTACTAGTTATATGAAAATGTGAAGAAACCATGAAGCAATATTAATATTTTTACCATGGAATTTTGTGATATTAATTTTTTACATTAAGATTGAGGAAATTGCCCTCTGAGTAGAAATTCAAATGATATTGCACACAATGGCTGTTTAAAACCCCTTTGGATCACTATTGATATTTCTCATATATTCACATAATTTTGCAAGTAATTATGTGTCTTGCTGTATTTGGTGAGAATTGTTTCAAACGTTGCTGTTGTATATGAAAAGGTACATTAAAGGTAATGGAGTGTACATTTGCTGTTAAACCTTGATGTTACTTGCATTAGAGCAAAAAGGTTCTCTTATTTAACTATCCCTGTGGTTTCTGTCACAGACATGCCAAGCTCATTGACTTTGTAACAGGCAGTGCAATGGTCACAAAATTGATACTGTCTCAAAAAAACTCAAACCTGTGGCAAAGATCAAGAAAACAACAGTTTAAATCAAAACAAAAGATATCTAGCCATTAATTTTAGTGACAAATATACATTGTTCATTTCTGGCGACAAAAAATTTGTTGCATTTTAATTGTTAATTTCAACACAAAGCTGTCAAAGAATGAGGCTGGGCTCCTCTAGGACTTACTTTGGTTAGATGTATTTGTTCAAAATACAATTCAAGCAAAAATTTCTCCAACTTATCAAAGGTGTAAACATCTTTCTGTCAGTTTCGTACTTCAAGTTGTTGTCACTGCCATGCTAAATACAATAGTAACCCCCTCCCCACCCCCCCCCCCCCCCCCCCCCCCCC